AATCCCATTTTCTGTTGTACCAGGACTCTTGGAACCTACAGAAAGACTTGCAGAAATAACTTGCTCAAAAGCCTCCATACATAGTTCTCCATTCTCAACTTCAAACACCTCCAAACCAAAATCTTCTACTTCGGCCTCGCTCAGACCTACGTTACTCCAAAAAGAAAGTACTACCTACTCAGTACCTTCGCACCAGACTCGCAGAATACCGCGTACGCGTGCGTTTGTTTTACCAAAGTAGCTCTTCAATCGTTACGTCAGAGTCCCCACCATTTGTGGGCCTTGTCGCTACGCGAAATCGTCTGGAACGTATCGGGGCAAGTGACTCATGCCCAGAGACGAGTCGCGAAGAGTTTAACATTGCCCCTGGACGAGTGCGTTCGACGGTACGGCGAGCGAGCGAGCGAAACGGCGGAAAACTGGTCGCGCAGACGCTCGGTCACGCGCCTCTGCGACCAAGTGGAACCAGCCGCTTCCGTTTTCGGTTCGCGCGTCCGACAGGTTCCCAGGAAACTTATTATTTCGAAAAAGGGGCGCTCGCGGAACACCGCCGCGGTCACCGGCCACCTGTTGCACCCAATTAAATGGCGTAATTGACGCCTACTTTTTGGAGCGTGACGGAACGCTCGCGGTTGTGTGGATACAGTCGTTGAATTATTTTCGTCGCAGATCAACTTCTCTCTCCTTCGTTTTTCCTTGGAGTTTACCACTATCGAGTTAATTCAATTCACTTTGGACTTCTTTTTCAAATTCTTTCTTTCTTTCCTTCCTTTATAAGGTTTTAAACTCTGTTTTGGGTTCATTATTGCGCCTACTAGTCTAGGATTGCTTAGAATCATCAGGCTTGCACGTATGTGTGTGTTTTTTTTTTTTTTTTACATTGTTTTACGTCAATCCTTAACTTTTTACATGTCTTGACATATCTGTTGAGACCCACTGACACACCTATAGCTCAGGTACACCTATAGCTGTGTAGGCACACACTACAGCCCTTGTGAATTTTTTAAAATTACTGGATTCTTTATAGTCTCAGGTGCAATACATGGAAATTATTGGAATGGGGAACTAGGTTCTAAGAACTTGCTTCTGCACTATCTATTTTCAAAGCTGTAGTAATCATGTACTGTAGTATACCTTTTAGGTGTCATCTTATCATCCCCGTGTTGTACGCTCAGTACAAACGATTTTCTGTGTAGAATTCTGAGTAAGGATGAGAAGTATTTAACGAAGTTATGCCACGGATGAATAGAAAACTTAAAGATATCAGCCTTGAAGAATAAATAGAATGTGCGTCATCAATCTGGTTCTATCAATCTATGCATTTCTGATGCTATAAACACAGTCGCGTGAGCCATATGTATCTCACTTTAGAAGTAAATAATTTTCGCAACTGTTCGTGACAGATGTTAATTTACCAATTGACCAATAGTCGAGTAACCATTATTCTGAATTTGTATCTCTAAATTTGATTACTATTTGGAAACATCCCCTCAGACTCCCCAAAGTACTCTGTAATACAGAGTCTGTATGCCTGAGGAGGGATGGGATAAGTATTGTACAGGTTATCAATGGACTCGATTGCTAGTAGCTCGGGAGTATTTTCATGTCGAAAGTCATAACTTGGCTTGTTTTACGACACAACCTCTCTCCAGGATAATACGCTAACGCGCAGCAGACACTAAAGGCAGAAACACATCGTCACGTTGCGTGAACACACGAAACCTTCCAGCCCGTGATATCGTCTATAACGGTGGTTCTTAACCTTTTTAAACCCATGGCACAATGTACAGAAAACCACCTGGCACACGTCTAAATCACGAACAATTGTAA